TCTTGAGATGTTGCTTCAATATATCCACATAATTTTCCTTCCTCGTGATGCCATCTATTTTGTGAAGTGCACCAGTCCCTCCTGCAGCAAAGCACCCCCACAGCATGATGATGCCACACCTGTGCTTCATGTTTGGGATGGTGTTCTTCGGCTTGCAAGCACCCCCTTTTTCCTCCAAACATAACGATGGTCATTATGGCCAAACAGTTATATTTTTGTTTCATCAGACCAGAGGACATTTCTCCAAAAAGTACGATCTTTGTGCAGTTGCAAACCGTAGTCTGGCTTTTTTATGGCGGTTTTGGAGCAGTGGCTTCTTCCTTGCTGAGCGGCCTTTCAGGTTATGTCAATATAAGACTTGTTTTACTGTGGATATAGATACTTTTGTACCTGTTTCCTCCAGCATCTTCACAAGATCCTTTGCTGTTGTTCTGGGATTGATTTGCAATTTTCGCACCAAAGTACGTTCATCTCTAGGAGACAGAACGCGTCTCCTTCCTGAGCGGTATGATGGCTGCATGGTCCCATGGTGTTTATACTTGCATACTATTGTTTGTACAGATGAACGTGGTACCTTCAGGCATTTGGAAATTGCTCCCAAGGATGAACCAGACTTGTGGAGGTCTACACATCTTTTTCTGAGGTCTTGGCTGATTTATTTTGATTTTCCCATGATGTCAAGCAAAGAGGCACTGAGTTTGAAGGTAGGCCTTGAAATACATCCACAGGTACACCTGCAATTGACTCAAATGATGTCAATTAGCCTATCAGAAGCTTCTAAAGCCATAACATCATTTTCTGGAATTTTCCAAGCTGTTTAAAGGCACAGTCAACTTAGTGTATGTAAACTTCTGACCCACTAGAATTGTGATACATTGAATTATAAGTGAAATAATCTGTCTGTAAACAATTGTTGGAAAAATTACTTGTGTCATGCACAAAGTAGATGTCCTAACCGACTTGCCAAAACTATAGTTTGTCAACAAGACATTTGTGGAGTGGTTGAAAAACGAGTTTTAATGACTCCAACCTAAGCGTATGTAAACTTCCGACTTCAACTGTATCAAGAGAACATCCCTGGTCATCCCTACTGCCTCTGATCTGGAGGACTCACTAAACATAAATGCTTCGTTTGTAAGTGAAGTCTGTATGTTGTAGTGTGCCCCTGACTATCCGTACATTTTAAAAAACATGAAAATTGTGCCCTCTGGTTTGCTTAATATAAGCAATTTTAAATGATTTATACTTGTACTTTTACTTCTGATACTTAAGTATATTTTTGCAATTACATTTACTTTTGATACTTAAGTATATTTAAAACCAAATGCTTTGTCTTTTACTCAAGTAGAATTTTACTGGGTGACTTGCAGTTTTACTTGAGTCATTTTCTATTAAGGTATCTTTACTTTTACTCAAGTATGACAATTAGGCACCTTTTCCACCACTGTGCATTTATTATGCATAAATCAACAAACCCCCCCCCCCCCCCCCCCCCCCTTACAAGTGTAACAGCTGTATTGCTTGGTGAGGTAGTACAACACCAACTATTGTTATGTAATATACATTGCTTCAACAAACATGTATAACCAACCACCTTGTGGATCTTTTTTTTTTTTTTTTTTAGGAACAAGTTATACAATTATTAGAAAAATTATAGCGCATATTGTTTTATCTCAGAGCAGATACTGAAATCAGACATGAGACTTTCTGTTGGGTCATCAGGTTAATACTTTATTTGTTTGATTGTAGCGAGGAGAAAGAGAGGGAAAGAGGTGAACAAGAGGAAAGAGTTAAAGAAACAGCTGTGGCTACAAGCCTTTGTATCAAATCCAGAGACAAAGTTATCAGGCAACATTAACACGTTTCATATATTTGAAGAAGAAAGAAAACAATAATGTATTTGTGGACTCTACATTTTAAACTATGGCACAGTATTTACCTAAACCTAAACAATACCAAACAATTTAGCCACACCCCTAGAACTATGACCAGCTTCATAGCACATTAAGCCACATCATTTTTCTCCCAGCTATTTGCCATTTTGATAAATTCACCCATGTATCATTTCCATGTCTTATGCCATAAAAAGGCACCTTGTCTGGAATCTGGAAGATCCAAACCATTTGAATACAGCTACGTTTAAATATATGGAAGCGGAGGCACAATTAATTTGAACTTACTAAACATACTGTAAATATGTGTATATCATCACCAGAATTCACTCTTTATGTCTATTTGCAGGCGTTTGGGCAGTGATTGATCACCATGATGGCAAGAATATGTTATAAGAAATGTTTTTTACGAAACACAAACATGTCTATCTAGTGAAATGGCCTAGATGGGTACAGTATGGAGAGTCTTTACAGCTGGGTAGGGACGGGGGGGTGCTCTGGAACGACACCACTGAAAAATACTTTAAAAAACAGGCTGTCCATATACCTCGAGGGATATGCTGCTAAGAGGCAGATTTGTTTTGGTTTTCCTTTTTCACACAGACATACATACCAGTGGAGGCTGCTGAGGGGAGGACGGCTCATAATAATGGCTGGAAAGGAGCTATTGGAATGGCATCAAACACATGGAACCTATGTGCTTGATGTATTTGATAACGTTCCGCTCATTCTGCTCCAGCCATTGTCCTCCCCAATTAAGGTGCCACCAACCTCCTGTGATACATACAGACACACGCATAGAGACACACACACAGAAATACACACAAAAGGCTTGTAACCACAACCAAGTCGAGGCCATGAGCCCCTGCAGTTGGTCACGCTGTGTTTTCGTCCTCCCGCCCGAAACCAACAGTGCAGCGGTGTCATTACACACCCATACACACTCCAAAGAGGCTGTGTAAAGTGTGTGTGTGTGTGTGTTTGGGGAGGAAGGGGGATAATTGGACAGCTCCCATACTGATTGTGAGAAATAAACGTGGCAGATGCTCTTTTCTAGGGGATTATACTCCAGAACAAATACAAACCAAGACAAAACAGAGATGGGGAGCTGAGATAGTGGGGGGAAAATGACAGAGGATGAGGAAGGAAAAAGACACAAAAAGTCACGGGTAGGAAAACGTGAGAGATTTTGGATACCGAGGATAATATAAACTGTTAGGAAGCGAGTGTTGCTCATGCTTTTGTGGATACAGAACCCAAGTTCCTAGGACTACTGTATATATGCATACCAGACTTCATAACGGCTCTTTACACGTTCTTTTTCAAGTCAGACAAACTGAAATCCATCTAACTTTAATGCATTTTGCACTTAACCTCGACTAAAATTACATTCATATTCATAAGTGTACTCAAAACCCCTTTTATTTGCAGAAGCCACTTCTGTCTAGCTAGCAAAAAGGGATATAAAAGTAACACAAAACAAACAATGTAACGTAACACAAAAACGTACAGAGAAAGACATAACAGAAAAAGTCCCACACGACATCTGGGAAACTCAGAGCCGCACAATGGATGCTGCTAAACCCGGCCCTACAACACCAGCTCTGAGGGGCCGATGACGTCACCCCTCTCTTCTCTACCCCAGAGCGCAGAAGAAGGGAGGAGAGGAGCTATTGGAACACGAAAAGCTGTTTTACACAAGCGGGCCTCACTGTAGCGTCATCCGACTCGATTTTCGTAGTCCTTTTCTAAAGACTTTCAGTAAGAGGGGAGGCGTCGTTTTGATTTGACTAGGAAGCTCCGTCAAGGGTACTGACCTAGGTGCGCCTGGCCTCTGTGTTTCTCTTTTAATCTCCCTCGCTGGCTCTTTCCGGATATCACAGGAATTGTCCTACCCTGATTCCATCTCTCTATGTTTTCCCTTCTACACTCCCCCTCTCTTCAACCAGTTGGACACCAGGAGGCATCAGGGGGAGGAAAAAGGACACCGAAGATTAAAAGATTGACTGATTCTTATTTTATTATTTTCAATCCTTGGAAGAAATGAGATGAGTACAAGAACTGGAAGTGCGTGGTCTATACTAACCTACGTGGTCAGCTACAGCTACAGTACATTTACAAATCATCCACAAGACTTGTCAAGTCTTTCCTCCCGTTTTTATAGGAACTTTTTGCAGCGGTTTTGCACAAGGTAAAAGCTAACATGAACCCCTAATCAGACTCATCTGGCCACTATGGCCACTATAGTAACATAAGCCCACAAGATCTGTCATTGTCTCAAGTACAGATTCTACTCCATCCATAAGGTTAGCTAGCATTGCTACTTTGTGAACTGGAAATAGAGGAATTCCTTCTACTGAACTATGCACTGACCTATAAGGGCTAGTCCATCTAGTGTTGGAATGCTGCTAACACCTCAGAACCCCATGGAATGATCAGCACTCAGATGGCAGACTGCAGCCATACAGCCACTCACACACATACCAAACAAACAGAAGCCAACCCCAGCGTGCACAACAAATTATTTCCTACATACTGTGCATGTACATGCTCACATACAACTCTCACAGATACTTGGAGCAAAAGTTTACATAAGCAATCACACACCACACACTCCTTTGATGTCCTTTTAGGCTGATCCCTTTCCTTCCTTAAAAAGCGTCCCCTAGAGAGGTGTATTTATGATCATTATTATGCAGTCACTATAAAGGGAAGCAGACTGAAACAACATTTTCACACCCTGTTAGCTGTTATTATTATATTATAGATATTATCATAACGAGTCGGAGATGACAATTAATCAAGCTCTAGTGTAGAACTAGTACTACAGAAAGTCATGAGAACAGAGGCCAGAGGAAAGGAGAGGGGGATATCTGTCTGTAATGATGAATCTGTCCTTTCTTTCCTCCACCTTCCTTCACTCATCCTCCTCCCATCATCCTGTCTGCTGATTCAATGCTTAGGCTCTGATCGCTACTTTACAAAAGAGAGGCAGGGGACTGTGCAAGTGTACTCTGTAACCAAAGGAGATAATTCCACCCCTTCTTCACCACAGGCCTGGTCGTCCACTTTGAAATATTCCTCAATTGTCTTTTCTCTTTACACCTTCTACGGCTTGCCGTTGCTGCTGTCCCTCTGTTTTTTGCTGCTGCCGCCACCGCTGTTGTAGAGACTGGGGTTGGCCACTAGGTGGTGTGGCACCATGCCAGTGTAGGGACCAGCTGCAGCAGCGTAGTTGAAGAGGGCGGGGAGGAAGGGCAGCGGCTCCACCTTGTCGTCCCCAGGGGCCATCATGTTCAGAGCCATGGGCAGGGAGGCCAGGTTGTAGGGGTAGGCCAGCAGCTGCGGCCCATAGAGCAGGTGGTATGGGTCGGGGTAGAAGGGCAGTTTGGCTAGGTCCCCGGTAGGCATCATCTTCCCCAATGGCCCGAAGGCAAGAGGCCCGGTCGGGTAGGACATGAGCAGGTTGTCCTCCTGCTTCTTGCCAGAGCGGTAGCCACCCTGGACAATGAGGGGCAGGGGGTAGTCCTGCATGGGGTATCCCCTGGCAGTGACATCACCTCTGTGAGGGTCTCTGGATGGCACTGGGGAGTGGTCCTGGGGCTCTGCCTCGGACGGTGGGGGGGCCCGTGGGAGCAGTAGGGCGTGGGCCGAGGGGCGGTCACTGCCACCAACCGATCCAGTGGGCAACTGAAGCCTCTCGGGGCCCCGTGTGCCACACATGGACTGGGAAACTTGGCGGTTGGCCTGCATCAGCAGGTCCATGGCAGTGGGGGAGTGGCAAGGGGACTTGGAGGGCCGCCTCTGAAAGGGGGGGCTGTTAATAGTGGTTTGAATGGGTGTGTGTATAGGGGACGGTGCGGGACTAATCGGCTCCTCTTTGGGTACCAGGAGGAGCACCTCCATGTCTCTGAGCTGCTCCTGTGGGGGGTGAGATGCCCCCCTAGTCTGCTGAGCCCTCTCCATCTCCCTTTCTCTCTGCCTCTCCCTTTCCAGCACTCTGTCCATATTCCTCTCCCTCTGTTTCCTCCTTTCTAGCTCTCTGTCCATATCCCTTTCCTTTTCTCTCTGCCTCCCCCTTTCCAGCTCTCTCTCCATATCCCGTTCCAGCTCTCTCTTCATCTCCCTCTCCCATTCTCTCTGCCTTTCCTTTTCCACCTCCCTCTCCCTGGCTAGGATTGAGGACATGGTCAGGTCTTGTGCTTGCTTAGGACTGGGGCTCCTGGACAACGGCGGGACCCTGAGATCTTGGGCCACTGGTGAGTCCTTAAAACCAGCATGATGGAGGCGGCCCATCCCACATCCCTGCCTCAGTCCTTTATCCGCAATATCCCCCTCCTGCTTCACGCCACAGACCCCTCGGAGGGGCACTGTTGTCATAGCAACGGACGGAGGAGCCGCAGTGTGGTTGATTCTCATCTGCGAGGTCAGGTGAATATTTGGAGAAGCAGTGGGTGGTCCCGTGACAGGTGCAGGGCTGGTCCTCCTGTGGCTCTGCCCATCCAGACTCCTCTTCCTGGGGGTCCGGTATTCCAGACATTCAGCTCCACTGCTCATGACCAGCACACCCTGGAGGGCCGAGGAGCAGGAGGAGGAGGGGGAGAAGGAGGAGGGAGAGGGTGTGGGCCTGTTGGAAGTGGGGATAACGGCCATGGGGATCTCTGGAGGGGGCTGAATAATCTGTGGACTGGGCTCTCTGTCAGGAACAGGAGTTGTGAGTACATTGAGTTCAGGGCTGCTGCACAGTGTTGGAATATGGTGCTCTGCTTTCACTTTGCTAGGCTGGCTTGCGCACTGCTGTGCCTCTATGCCCTCGCTACTATGCTGTGGCTCTGGGATAGGGTAGCTGATAACTGGGACAGACTGAACAATGGGAACATGGCCACTCATGGTGTCTAGGTCTTTGCTAACAGTGCTAACTGAAGTCTCTGCTGCAGCTTTTGGCTCTGGCTGCGTCGCCTCCCTTTCTCTCTCTGGGGAGCTGCTTAACTCGTGGCGCCTCACGTGGCGGTTTAGCGCGGAGGATGTCTTGCATACCTTATGGCACTGCGGACAGGTGTGTCTTGCCAACGACCTCCTGCTTAGGCGACTTGGACTTCCCTTCCCTAGTATAAGCCTCTCTCTCGCCCTGTCTACTTCTGCCAGCTCAGTTTCCCTCTCCGTGCCCTCATTTTGGGACTGAGGTCCCGCTCGGGGTGGCACGGACAGCGGGTCGGGGGCTTTGGGGTGACGGGTTCTCTGGTGATCCTCCAGCTGGTCCCTGGAAGGGAAAGGGGCCCTACAAAGGAGGCACACAAACTCCAGCAGGTGGCTGAGCTCGTGTTTATCCCGCTTCCTGGAGCTGGAGAACCAGCGGCCGCACGTATCGCACTCTGACGCACTCCCATTGGACCAGGGCCGGCGTTTTGTGTCCATAGGGGAGAATGAGGTAGCCAGAGGGGGTTGGGGAGAAGCCAGGGGAGGATTAGTGGGCTTAAGGTGGGCCTCCCGGATTTCTTCCACCACTTCTTTGTCTTTTGAAGGTATAGGGGAAGTACTGAGGGATTCAGGTACCTCTCCCTTCTCTTGTTCCATGTGACCTTTCACCTCCCCCTCCCCCTCCTGCTCCACCTCATCCTTGTCCATCTTTCCATCCTCCTCCTCTTGCTCCTCTGCCTCCTTATTTACATGGTCCATGAGTCCCTCGGCCCTCATCATAAGCCGGAGGGAGCGTTTGTAGTGCAGTTTGCGCTGCCAGTTCTTTGCTTTGTGGACGTGCGTGGCCTTCCTCTTGGGTTTGTAGGAGTAGTAAGGCCTCCAGAGGTTGTCCTCATCGTCTTCACTCTCCCCTTGCTTGCGCACCTCCTGGCGTAAGTAGTACTCTCTGACCTTGCCCGGGTCGATGGGACTTTTCTTCCTGCTCTCCCCTTTCTCTCTCTCCCCATCTTCTACTCTCTCCCCCTCAGCTCCGATGCTAGAGCTGCGATGGGAGCGGTGTTTGTGGTGATGATGGTGGTGGTGTGAGTGGCGAGGTTCCTTGGTGTCCTGTGGGGAGGAGTCTGTCTTTTTTGCTTTGGAAGGAGGGGGGCTCCTGTCCCTCTTGAGGTCCGTCTCGGAGATGCTGCGCTTGACCATGGCTTCCTCGCCTATCCGCACCGTGATCTGGCACAGCGGCCCGGCCCCTTTACCCTCTGACCCAGTGGACGACTGTTTGGCTGAGGAGCTGTCACTCTTGCAGGACTTATGATGGGACCTACCTGTCTCAGATCTCCTCTCGGACTCCTCTGTGGTGTCTGATCTGTCCACTAATTTAGCTCTCTTCCTATGGCTCTCCATACTTTCCCTATGCTTTTTAACAGGCTTTGCACTGGCCTTGGGGAGTGTCTGGCTGTTGCTAGGTTCAGGGGAGGGACTGCTCAGGGGGCTTTTCCCGCCCCCGGAGGTGACCTGGTTGCTATGGACAATGACGGATGACACTGCTGTGCCATGCACTATGACGGAGGGCTTGGGGTGGCCGTACGTGATCACAGAGGACAAACCCAACTCTGGGCTACCGCTGACCTTGGGAGCTTTGACTCTGTTGCCAACCGTTACCTTGGAGCTGCTGCCATGGCTACCTACCTTCTCTGACTCTGATGCTGCCTCTCTGTCAGCTACTCTCCCTAGGGCCATGCCTGTTAGGGTAGGGGGCAGTGTGGGGATCTCTCCCTGCTCTAGGCCCACTGTGAGGGGGAAGCCGGCAGGGAACTCTTCAGGGTCAGGCTTCACACCCTTGGGTAGAGAGCCACTGATGAGGCTGTGAAGGTCACCGGTGTCCAGGCTGCAGTCCAGGGACAGAGGGACGGAAGAGGGGTCAGAAGGGGGCAGCAGCAGGCCCCTGGCCAGGGAGTCACTGTAGGTCTTGTAGGGCCTCTTCTGGGAACGCATTGGGAGCAGGCGGTAGAACTTGAGAGCGTTGACCTTTTGCTTGTAGCCGCCGTTGGCTGTCTTCTCGCTGGAGATGAGGCCAGGGCTGACGCCGTGGAAAGCCTTCTGGTGGGTCTTCAGGTTGTAGTAGGTGGCGAAGGCCTCCCAGCAGAAGATGCACTGGTAGCGGCGCTCGCCCGTGTGCCAAACCTCATGCTTGGTGCGGTACTCGGCCAAGGCGAACACCTTGTCGCAGAAGTGGCAGGGGTACTTGCGGCGCCACGAGTGCACATTGGAGTGACGCTTGAGGCTGGACAGGGTCATGTAGGAGCGCTCACACACGGAGCAGAAGTAGATAACGTGGCCATCTACCACCTTGACGAAGTGGTCCTCGTCCCCCACCAGCTCTGACACGTCGCCTTCGTGTCGAACCAGTAGACCTCGCCCTTTCTTCCCTTTGCCAGTCTTCATATCTTCCTCACCTGCCCCCAGAATCTGTCCTCCCTCCACCCTAACTTCCCCCTCCTCCAGTGGTTCCTCTTTTGGCTGGATGGGGAGAAGGGGGAGGCTAGAGGGGATGGCCGGGCTCAGAGCGTGCCTGCAAGAGGCCTCGTGGGACTGTAGTCTCTTGTTGTGGATGAAGGCTTTGCCACAGTGCTGGCAGCTGAGGGCACGGCCGCCACGGTGCAGCCGCATGTGGGCCGTGAGCGAGGACGCGGAGCTGAAGAGGCGGTGGCACACCCCACATATCAGCTCCGGCTTGGGGACATCTGGGGGGGTGGAGGAGGAGTGAGGAGTAAGAGGGGGAGGGATGAAAGACTCAGAGGGGTGAGGAAGAGAAGGAGGAAGAAGGTGGAGGGTGGGCATGTGTAGGTTTGGTCCAACTTGTGGGCTGCCCACCTTCCCTCCTTGTTTTCCTGTTTTCTCCTTTTTCTCTGTGTCCCGCCTCCCCTGGCCCTGATAGGCCACGGCGCTCAGGTTGAACAGGATCTGTGCAGTCTCTGAGGGGGAGGCTGTGCCATTGGTCAGTCTGTGACCTTCCCCTGGGTAACCCCCTATAGGCCCATTGGAGGACCTGGGGGGGAACCTGTGGAACTGGGAGTCCAGACTGGCTTTGAAAAGAGGCAGGGGGGATTTGGTGTCCTTTTTGACCAGTGCAGTAAGATCCATGGGAGAGGAAGAAGAGGAATGGGAGGAGGAGGCGGAGGAAGAGGATGGAGAACTGTCATGTCGGGGCTGTTTAAACGGCCGCCGTTTGTCCGTGGTGGCGGCGATGGCCAGTTTCCACGGCGACTCCTCATTGGACCCCTTGGAGGCCGAGGAGGAGTGTCGGCAGCGGGGGGAGGATGTGGCCGAGGACGGGTGGTGGTTGTGAACGGTGAGGGCAGCAGGCAGGGCGGCGCTGAGGGGGAAACTGAGGGTGATCTTAGCGTTCTCTGGGCTGTCTGCCCCGTCCTCCATCAGCCCCTCCATCATCGCCTCCCCTCCTCGGCCCTGCCTGCTTTTACCCTTCATCTCCCCTGGTTCCTCCTCTTCCTCAACCAGGTGGGTCAAGAAGGGCACCCAGAGGCTGAGGCCCGCCTCTGATAGACGCCTTTTCACCTTGTAGCCCTGGCGGGGGACGCGGGAGGTGTAGATGAAGTCGAGCAGGTTGGACAGCACTCTGGATTGGAGGTAAGGCAGCTCCAGGACTCGCTCAACCCCCCCAGAAGAGGGGGTTGATGGTGGGTGTCGAATACAGGACCCGAAGGCAGTGGGGAAGACGCCGACAGGAGCAGCTGGCGGAAGTACTGGCTGCAGGCGGTGAACTTGGCGTCGCTGGTGGCGATGAGGTTGACGTCACAGAAGAGGGCGGGCCCGGCGGCCAGGCGCTGCTTGTTCATGCGCAGCAGGAAGAGGCTCGCGTGGAGAGGGTCGCACACCTCCGGCTGAGGCACCATGACCAGCCCACAAAACCTGAGAAATGACAAGAGATAGAACGGATGAGTGTTACAGCTAGAATGGATCCCTGCAGGCATTTTTTGTAAAACGCTGTAGATAAATGCTACATTTGAATGTATAATTCCAGAAAAACTAGATTATCCTTAAAATATTCTGCCATGCTAAGAAAATATTAGAAGTAGCATAAGAAACGCAACAAAACGTCAACTGATCTAAAAAGGAATGGCGAGAGGAGGGAAAGGGAGAAAGAGGGAGGACTATGTTGCAATGCTGGTGTAGATTTCAGCACGCAGAGACGGGAAAGGCATTCCAAGTATCCATCTCGGCTGTACCACAACATTCCCGTTGCCTAATTGGAAGGCTTTCAGATTTAATCAAGATTCCCCCGGGAATAGAGTGTTGACTTGCATCTCATAGCCCTGCTAACTTAAAATAAGTCCCCTTTGGTGGGGGAAAAGGGGGGTGATTCCCATCACAGCCTGCTGGCCCATTCCTGGCAGTGGTCAGAATTTGACGGCCATGACTCTAACCATTATTTGTGAAGGGAGGGGAAGTGGGAGCCAGGGAGGGTGGGGGGGTGGGTTGTGGAGGAGGGGTGTTTTTCTGCCCACTGCATCCGGTTCTGTCGCAGCTAAGCTCGAGGAGACGAGCAACGGTCGACGGGGCGCTTCCCATTTCCATTCTAATTTCAACGCCGATTACGGCAGATCCACTTGCCTGCTATCTATTCATATTCAGTTCGCAATAAGCATTTTTTTTGTTATTCCATATTTAGCACAGGCCATTCTATGGACTCTGCAGATTGGGGAAGATGGCTGTTGAGGCCTAATGGTGCGACAAGAAGAAAAATCCTCAGTCATGCTTTTCTGCCTGCGTTTTCAAGCAGCAAGGCAGGCAGGCCTCTGTAAAATTCCACAGGCAGCCCTGAACAGGCAGGAACTAGGTCAGCACTGTTATTGCAGAGGGAAGAGGAGGGAGAGAGAGAGGGGGAGAGAGAAAGGGCCAGGCTGGAAACAGAAACACACATACACACAGCACAGGCGTACAGACAGAGCACAGGCAGACAAACACAGACACACCCCCACGGGCACAAATGCACGCAACCATACATACAGGCACCGGCAAGCACACACACTGCCACAAAAACAAAACTACTGATCTCACGGATGGCCTTGCTTATAAAAACACATGCAAAACAATGGGGTGAAGTAGAGGAGCACCCTGCCACAGAGAGTTTGTATAGGTGGAATGAACTGAATTACAGGACAGAATAAGCGGAGCTTTGAATTAAGTGGATTAAACAAAAATCAGGAAAGGGACACACCACGCACACACTAAAATCGGGTCAAATGATACACAATGAAACACACAGACACAGGTAAAGACGCACAACTACACCACTAGACACCCTTGCTCTTTATTTACCCAGATACACAGACGAACACGGTGACTATGCGGATTAGCAGGAAGTGTGCACATAGCTAAAGTAGATGTGTGTTCTTTAGATATACGTGGATATGTTTACTGTGCAGTGTGCTCTGATAAAGTATTGTCATGCGGGAAACCCCTGATATTAGGCACCAGCTACTCGTATGCGAACACAGCGTGAAACGGCATGAGGACTAAAGATGTCACGATTTCATCTGGTGTGCCGTGAAGGGAAAATGCGTCTGCCGCCCCCTCGCTCTCCCTCTCCATATCACTGTGACGCACACAACTGCATCGCCACAAACAGGGCCCTGAACAACAAACTGGCCATGCGTGACAGGGGGGCTTTGCACACACAGGCACCCCAAACACACACACAGGCGTACACCCCCCCCCCCCCCCCCCCCCCACACACGCAAGCAAGCGTCTGACCCTCAGAGTGCCAAGGACCCAGCCTCGCCCCCTAAAAATAACGTGCCCTTCTAAAGCATGGTGTTCCGCACAACCAAACATGTTCGCTGAAGGATTGTATCTATTTGCGCTCGCCGTGCTGCGAAAGAACTAATACAGAAAAAACTGAACAGAAAGTGCAGGTACAGTTGGTGTGGGACAAATGACTCACTAAGATACGTAGAAGAACATTCGGCAGAATCACGTCAGCGACCGGAAGTTGGTGAGAGAAGAAAACCATCAATGCCACACTCTGGGGTCACAGTGACCATGTTACTATTAAAGTACCCTGAGTCCTATTCAGTTAGTATGCAATGGCTCCGATCCTATCTCCTTCATGTGTTGAGCCAAGCCATAGATGAGTTACTGCAAGAGACTGGTGGGTGGGTTTCAGCTAGCACGCGAGGGGGAAATGTGTGTGTGTGTGTGGGGGGGGGGGGGGTTCACGCTGGAGTGGGAGTTAGTTTGCCCGTTATGCACCATGAGCGAGTGGAGTGGGGTTGTGGACATAGGAAGGTGTCGGTTGGGCTCTCCCTAGTGTGGAACGGCCAGCTAGGGGAGCACCAGCTGGGCTGTGAAAAGGGGGCTGTAGTTGGAGATAGACAGGAGAGACTGAACTGATGGAGCCAGCCAGATGGGGCAGAGGGAATAGAAGGAGGGGGAGAAGAGGAGCTTGGTATGGGTCGGAGAGTGGTTCAGAGAAGAGGAGGTTGGTATGGGTCGGAGAGTGGTTCAGAGAAGAGGAGGTTGGTATGGGTCGGAGAGTGGTTCAGAGAAGAGGTTGGTATGGGTCGGAGAGTGGTTCAGAGGAGTGGAGGGTGGAGGGGTGGGAAGCGTAACTTCAAACACATCACTCCCTTGTCCAGATTTCATGGTTTCCTTGTCTTTCAGATCCTGCTCAGCGTGTCAACATGCCCCCCCCCCCCCCCCCATCACTCAGTGTAAACTGTGGTATCTCTACGATTTCGCATGCCACTCCACGCACCAGCTAACCTGGCCCAGGTTAAAACACCACACTCTCCATGGTCTGTTAGCTCCCAACCCGGCACATCATTCCTGTAATAGAATCATGGGAAGCATTAAGGAGAAGGCCCAAAAAAAGTACCTTGAGTCGAAAGAGTAGAAACACTACACCACTGACCTTTTTGAGGTAATTTCCCCCAAATAATGTTCAATTTTGCACACAGTCCCTCTTAAGACACTGCGTACACACACAATGTAGGCCTGTTAGTCATGTACAGCATAAAGGCTCAGGATTGTTGGCGTTTAGGAGATGTAAGCAGCTACTAGACACTAAATCAGCATTGATAGCATGAGGCCACATGAATGAGGCCACAACTCTGATAACATGGAACGCTGCTCCAACGTCCTCAGAGGGCTGCTGCTGTGGCCGTGGCACTGTTGCTACAACACCACAGTGCAACACCGTACAACACTGTTCGACTAGAGTGCATCACCCAGCAAAGGGCCAAATCCTGACTTTATAGATCCACGCTTCTGCGTAAATCATTCATATCAATGAGAGATTTATGTGAAACGTTGCACGCTGAAATCTCTATTTCAAAATTAGACAATTGGAATGGCTTAATTGGAAATTGCACGTAAAAACAGCATTGCCAGGTTAGTCAAGTCTTCCAGTGGATACCATTGGCATAGAGTCTAGCCAGTATACAAATAACAAGTCAGACAGAAAACCTCCTACCTGGAAATCAACAACTGCCACTGGTTCGAAGCAACAAGGCTCCTATAACTCATGACCCCTAAAGACTTGTGGTATTATGGGTCATATTTCCCATACAATGAAAGCAGAGGCTTGGCTTGGCAGACATGGTGAGCAATGTGGAAATATTTGGCAGATGGACCTTTTTTTTTTTTATTACTTTTTTTTTTTTATAAAGGAGGGTTAGTTAGTTAGGGAAACAGCAATAGGGCTGTGATGTCAAAATGCCCTCCACGGTTTAGCAAGAACCGCCTTCCGCTTCCAAAATAACAACCTGGCATAAGGAGGATATTATGACACACCAAAGAACTACGGAACAGGAGAGACGAGAACAGCGTAATCTCGGCGCTAGATTATATATCAGGGACATGTATGTTCAAGTTATTCCCCAACTCTCTGTGTCCTTTTGGGAGTTAAGTTCATGGAGGAAGATCGTCCGACCGCTCACAGTGAGAAAAGGATTTCCCTAAAATACAAAGACCATGTCATGTCAATGTCTTTCGCCTTGATCAGACGAGCTCTAGCTAGACCCTTTGATCTCAACTGATTCACGCAGATGTGAAAGACGCCGAGAAATTAGAAGTTCCATCACAATCCCTGTACGAGTCATCGCTCCTGAAAAAGAACTGCGTGGTGCGCCAGCGAGACAGGGGAGGATGAGGGAGACGAGGCCTCTTATTGGTGCCACACACAGTACAGCCACACACAGTGCACAGGCACACACCCACACTTACACACACTTAATAACATCTTCAATTTCTCCTGACACACAAAACAACAACAACCCCGGCGATGGAGTGACTGAGAAAAACAAGCAGAAGAAAGAGAGAGAAACATGTCAGCCTCTCACTGCTAGGCAAGCACACAACAAGACAACGTACCTCGGAAAACCTCCTGCTGCATCTCTGCTGTGATGTGTTCTCCCTCTCCCCTCTCTCTCTTGCTCGCTCTCTCGGCTCTCTCTCCCTCAGTCTGTGTGAGCGCGCCTCTGTGTGTGCGTCCGCGTGAGTGCGTGTGTCTGTGAGAGACGGCGCACACACAGGCAGCAGTGTGTGAAGACAGAGGACAGGAGCGACTCTCGCACTCTGGCTCGCTCCCCCTCTCCCTCGCCCTCTCTCTCTCTCTCTCTCTCTCGCCTGCTCCACTCGCTCTCTCACTTCAGTTTTGCCTCTGACACATGATTCTCAGTGTTTTTGCCTTTTTTTTTCAGCAAGTGAATTTTTTCACCCCCCCCCAATCTCTTCTATTCTTTCTCTACCTCCTCCCCACCCCCTCTGAATCCAATCCTCTTTTTATTTGGAAGTGTTGTTCTCCAGCCACACACACAAGTGTGCACACACACACACAAACACGCACACACACACTACTTTATATACACAAAGCCTGGCGAGATAGGGAGAGAGAGAGGGAGAGCAAGGCAGACGACGCCATTTAAGCAGTTAGTTACGAGCACTGCCAGTCCCCAAAATGGCTGAAAACAAACAGGACCAATGCCAACAACAAAAAAAACCCTGGGCACTAGGATAGAGAGAGAGAAAGAGAGGCGGGGGGGGGGAGACTGTACAGACAATAGTCGGATGGCCGATGGAAGCTCACTTAACTGAAGAAAGAAAGAAGCAGAGATTAAAGAGAGTGAGAGAAAGAGGGAGGAAGTGAGGGAGAAAGTGAGCGAGATTAGGGCAGGGACACACTGCTTTCGTTTTTATTGCCTCTGTTAAAAGGGTTCAAGTTTATGGGGAGCGAGCGATGACGACAAGTCAGGTGTGTGTTTCGGGTTCACTGCGAGAGCGTGTGTGTGTGACCCTAAGGCCAACTCTACCCTTATCTGCTGTACGATTGATTGATTGATTGATTGATTGACAGCCAACAGAAACCTGTGTGGCCTTTCCGTGTTTGTTTATGTCAAAAAGATAACATCTTCCCTTGGCGTTGTCAGAACATCTTCAAAACATCAGGGTCGCATTCACTAGGAACCAAACGGAAGAAAACAGACCGAAGCGGGGAGGGACTACAGTTCCTTCAGAAAGTATTTACACATTTCGTTGTGTTACATCCTGAATTTTAAAATGGTTTAATTTAGATTTTTGGGGGCACTGGCCTACACACAATACCTCATAATGCGGAATGATAATATACACTACCGTTCAAAAGTTTGGGGTCACTTACAAATATGTCTTACAAAACATTTTGTCCATTAAAATAACATCAAATTGATCAGAAATACATTGTTAATGTTGTAAATGGCTATTGTAGCTGGAAACGGCTGATTTTTTATGGAATATCTACATAGGCGTACAGAGGCCCATTATCAGCAACCATCAGTCCTGTGTTCCAATTGCACGTTGTGTTTGCTAATCCAAGTTTATCATTTTAAAAGGCTAATTGATCATTAGAAAACCCTTTTGCGATTATGTTAGCACATCTGAAAACTGTTGTGCTGATTAAAGAAGCAATTAAACTGGCCTTCTTGAGACTAGTTGAGTATCTGGAGCATCAGCAATTGTGGGTTCGATTACAGGCTCAAAATGGCCAGAAACAAATAATTTTCTTCTGAAACTCGTCAGTCTATTCTTGTTCTGAGAAATGAAGGCTAATTATGGGGTATTGTGTGTAGATTGATGAGGGGAAAAAAACAATTCAATCAATTTTAGAATAAGGCTGTAACGTAACAAAATGTAGAAAAAGTCAAGGGGTCTGAAAACACTATAGCTGGAATGAAGGGAAATACCACTGACTGAGAAAATTGATTTAATCAACCAGAGCAGAAGTTTACTGTTATGGACAAAGACTTGTGGGAAACAGCATACATCAAAACAGGTAAAGTGGGAGATTCGTACAGGGTAAAAGGGATCTTGAAGAAGGAAGGCTATCAATCCATTTTTCAACGCCATGCCATACCCTGTGGACGGCGCTTGATTGGAGCCAATTTCCTCCTACAACAGGACAATGACCCAAAGCACAGCTCCAAACTATGCAAGAACTATAATGGAGTGGCCAGCACAGTCACCGGATCTCAACCCTATTGAGCTGTTGTGGGAGCAGCTTGACCGTATGGTACGTAAGAAGTGCCCATTAAGCCAATCCAACTTGTGGGAGGTGCTTCAGGAAGCATAGGGTGAAATCTCTTCAGATTACCTCAACAAATTGACAACTAGAATGCCAAAGGTCTACAAGGCTGTAATTGCTGCAAATGGAGGATTCTTTGACGAAAGCAAAGTTTGAAGGACACAATTATTATTTCTATTAAAAATCATTATTTCTAACCTTGTCAATGACTACATTTCCTATTCATTTTGCTATATTTCCTATTCAAACTCATTTAATGTATGTTTTCATGGAAAACAAGGACATTTCTAAGTGACCCCAAACTTTTGAACGGTAGTGTATATCAAATAATATTTGCCATTTAGCAGATGCTTTTATCCAAAGCGACTTATAGTCATGCTTGCAGTCATTTTTTTAAGTATGGGTG